TTGCCGAAAAATTTGGAGCCTGATCATTCGTTGCATTAGCGCTTAGTGATTACACTCTACAATGTGCATACGTTCCGCGTAAAGAAAATCCCATATATTTCTATGTCATTAAAGAGATATCATATAGTGTCCATAAAATTTTGCAATGGATGCGGACCATGTTGTACAGTTCATTAGGAGCAGTGGTAAACGGCCAGGTACGATGCTATGTGAATCGTCATATCGCGGTCTTAAAAAGTCTCATAATTAGAAACTTTTTTAAAACCTAATTATACAACTTCCTTAAGTATAAAATATAAAGAAGACGTGATTCTCTATTGATTGACTGAAAGAAAGCATATTTTTGTTTATGGTTTCTATAAAATGTATTTGAATTTCAAAGACCATCGAAAATCAATGGGAAAAATGCATGCTACTTAAGTAGTCATTTTTTGCCGAGCACGCTTTCTACAGGAGATTGAAAAGAAATGCATTTATAAGCCAACATCCTGCCAAGTGCAAAATGCTATAAGAGAATGCTTTAAGATAATCAGTATTACAACCGCGACCAAGTAATCTTTCCTAATCGAAAACGCATTTCAGAATTTCAGCCAACATTTCTTGAGATAGGTCACGCACTGTATGTGCTCAATCAGCAGCCCTGAAGTTAAATGCCCACCCGATGAGCCATAGGACCACGCTCTGTCCGGAGTACTGATTGCCGCGTCACTGTCCGCGAGCATTCCACGGACAGACAGAACGCTAAAAGATTGGTTCTGCCAGGGGTCAGATTGGTCAGTCACGTCCCCCTGTTTCTAAAGGTGTGAATGCCTTCGGCGCCAGTTGCCATTACAGCCAACCTATGACAGTCCGACCGTTGATTTCGACGCTGTCTGCCGTGTGCTTTATAGCACGGCGGGAGCAGAGACGGTGACTTGTGCGTGAATTAGTTTATAGGGACAGTGCAATTGCGCTGCATCTACCACACTCTCCCCTCTTCCCCCGCCTGGGCCCAGTGCCAAGACAAACGCAGGTGGCTGGCACGGCGTAAACCCGCACCTACAGTGCGTGACCGATCTAGGTCAGTATATTTTAAGGGTAATAGGCAATGCCTTTGAAAACCCTATTGTAAACGGCACATGCAATATGTAACTTTAAATAAACACAGTACTAAAATGTTGTCAGTAATATGTGCACTTAACAGAATATTTTTCATTGAAAATGCAGGGCCGAAACTCGAACACATACAGTTGTAGATGATATCGGTAAAATGCAATGACAGTCATCGGCATTAGCGGTAGGCGTATGCAAGACGTTGGTTTGGCACCACAGAGCTGTTCTGTCCGGACAAGCGGTATTGTCCAAGCAAATATACATCTAGTCTTTGCTTGAACGTCTCCGTGGTATCCGTCATTAGTACGTCCTCGCACCTACAGTGCGTGACCGATCTCATGAAATGTTGGGCAAAATTCTGTAATACGTTTCAGATTAGGAAGGATTACTTAAGTGGGGTTGTTATACTGATTATCATACAGCACAATCCTATAGCATTTCTGACTCGCCAGGATGTCGGCTTTTGAATGCCCTTCTTTTTGACCTCCTGCAGAAACCACACTCGGTAAAAATGACTACTTAAGTAGCAGTCACTTTTCACATTGATTTTCGATGATCTTATAAATTCAAATATATTTTATAGAGAACATGCACAAAATATGCTTTCTTTTGCTCATTTTCGAGGAAATCACATTGTCTACATATTTTATGCCCGAAGAAGGTGTATATTTAGGTTTTGAAAAAGTCTCTAATTACGAGATTCTTAAGACTGTGCGATGTCCATGCAGGCAAGATCGCACATGTCCGTTTACTAATGCTCCTAATGAAATGTACAACACAGTCCGGATCTATTGCAAGATTTCACGAACTCTACGTGGTATCTCCTTAAAGGCATAGGGGCATATATGATTTTCCTTACGCGGAAAGCATGCACCTCGTAGACTGAAATTGCTAAACGCTGATGCATTGGCAGAACAGGCTGCATCTACCCCACCCTAATCCCAAACCTAAACCCTCACCTTAACAAAAACCTTACCCTAGAACGCAAACCGTAATCCTAAAACTTAATCAGCGCCTAACCCCAACCCTCATTAAACCCAAAAGCCTGACCGAAACGGGCGACCTGCCTAACTCATCAGAAACACACCTACTGATAACGAGTTCCCTAGACAATATAAACACACCTACTGATAGCAAGTAAGTACGTCGACATTATCAACGTATAATGTCTGGCAATGAACTGCGATCTTACCATCCCTTCTTCTCCCACCTGGGCCTAGTGCCAAGACAAACGCAGGTGGCTGGCACGGCGTAAACCCGCACCTAGGCGTGCCACCACACCCCCTGGTCGACAACAAACATTTGACTGGGACTTTAAACAACAAGTATGAGGGCGGTACGGATCCTTATTGGTGCGGAGTGAACCGGAATGCCGCCAAACCCGAATGCTGGCATTTGGCACGGATGCACATTCCCCGAAATATTAGAACCGACCTGCCTCTTCGAGATGGAAGTCGTTACTCAAGCGCATTACCGTCTCTCGGTCTGAAGTGTTCCTCGGGAACCCTAGTGTTTGCACCGTTGTCAAATGTAGCGACGCACAACAGCCGAGAAATTACACCTTGTAGACTTCGTACTACCGGGCGAACACAATCAACAAAGTTCAAGCCTCTTAGCTGGCATTTTGGTGGAACTTTGACGGGGTAAAAATCACGTTCCTACAGCTGCAAAGGCTCTCCTATCACAAAGAGGGGAGAGAATGGAATGGCCACTTACGACTTGTTTGCTACAGATCCAGGCTGGGGCGATCTGAAATTCGAATTCGGGTTAGCTGATGATCGTACATTCAAACATTTGTGTCACGATTTCAAGTGCCGTCGCCTGTGAGAGGAGGCAATTGTGGCGCCCACCGACCTGTCATGGTTACGAGACACGTGTATTTCGTCGGACAGTGAGGGCCTACCGGCGAAAGCCACTCCCATACAGCAGTAGTAATTACCTAAGGTCGAGTAGGAACTGCAGACTTGGAATAGCATTCCTGGCAAAGATAAGCACTAGTGAAGTGACCATTCCTGGCTTGTCAGCCGTCATGAGCCAGCCATACCTAACCCCAAGGTACGCAAATCCCGAGGTTCGAAGTCGCGACTTACTGGTTAGAAGTCCAGCGTTCCAACCATAGAGTCAAGGGCTCGCTGTCGCGTCGGTTGCGATCGGATATACCCACAATGGTAAGGGGACGCGTACCGAGTAAGTCTGGTAACGCGATTGTTGCCTGCCGCTCTACAACTGTCAACATATCCGATCGCAACCGACAGAACAACAAGTCAGTGGCACAAAGGTTAGGAGGTTGGACTTCTAGCCAACAGAATGCGGAAGTGAACCTCAGAAGTTGCATATGTCGGGGACTGGGCATGGCTGGCTGATGACGGCTAACAAGCCAGAAACGGTCATTCCAGTCTCCCTTGTCTTTGTCTGAAATGCTACTTTGCCCATATCAAGAGCCTGAATGCGGGTGCTGGCGGGGCTCAAAAGAAAGAGTCCAAAACACAACACGACGAGGGAGTTTCAAAACGCGATAGGTGCACGCTCCTCTACGACCGCACGTTCGGTACTTGAATAATTAGACATACAGTAGGTGGGCTAACTCATGAAATGTCAACTGAAATTCTGAAGTGCGTTTTCGTTTCGAAAAGATTAATTAAGTAGGGTTGTAAAACTAACCATTATGCAGCGTAATTCTGTGATAATTTAGTTACCTCGGGATGCCGGTTTTCAAAGAAACGTCTTTCCAGATGCATGCAAACACTATACCTTATAAAAAATGACCACTTCAGTAGCATGAAATTTCCCCATTGATTTGCGATGCCCCTAAAAGTCCAATTATATTTCCTGGAAAACATGCATAAAAATATTCATTCTTTCCCTCATTCGGTAGAAAATTACCTCTACTTCCAATATCGTACTCGAAGGAAGGATATAATTCGGTTTTAAAAAGTTTCTAATTGTGAGACTTTAATACCGTGAAATGGCCGTGCATAAAACGTCATGTCTCTGCAGTCACCGATGTGGCTTGTTAAGTTGACAATATGGATTAAATTCACTGCTAAAATTCATGAACCCTATATGGTCCCCCTTTATTACCGTAAAGAAATGTGTTGTTTTCCGTACGCGGAAAATATACTGCTTGCAGTTTGGAAAGCCTGAATCGATGTGTAAGGGTAGAGCGGGTTCAAAATCATTCGGGAATTGAAAAAGTTTTTAAAAACAGAATTATACCCTTCTTTGAGTATAAAATTGGAGGAGGACGTAATTTTCTAACGAATGAGCAAAAGAATGAATATATTTATGCATATTTTCCATGAAATATAATTGAATTTTTAAGAGCATCGAACATCATTGAGGAAAATGCATGCCACATAAGTAGTCATTTTTGCAGAGCATGGTTTATGCATGCAGCCGACAGGAAGTTCGTTTGAAAGCCGGCATCCTGAGGTAACTGAATTATTATATAATTATACTGCAAACTGATTAGTTTTGCAACCCTACTTAATTAATCTTTTCAAGTCGAAAACGTATTTCGGAATTTCGGCTGACATTTCATGAGTTAGCCCACCTATTGTATGCTTTGTAGGCATTCACCGCATTTGAGCGAGACTGCTAACCAAGCCGGGTGACGTTATCAGGCAGATCTGAATTTAGCGCATCTTCGCTGGCGGAGAAGGGAGACCTCTCATATCAGCCTCATGATTCCCTTTGACTGTGTCTCAGAGGATGAACCCCGGCCACGAAAAAAACATTCACTAGAGAGCGCTCGCCATACTCGCGTACCCTAATGAGTGGCTCCTACTTGGTCATGTTGTAAATTGCTCAATCGGGTACCTCACATCAAAGTTTGACTGAACTACCTTCAAGAGCCCGGAGGAATCAGCTAAATGCCTCTATTCAGCCAACAAGAGTTTAATCGGAAGCTACTTGCCTGATGTCAGGGGAGGTGGCGGCTGAGGATCCTCGGAGATCGTCTGTGACATCGTAATTGTGCGATCTTTAGCTTCCCTAACCAGATCAATGAGCTCCTGCGCCATCTCAAATTCCCGCTTACGCTCAGCCTCTCTGAGCGCGATTTGATCGCCGTATTTCTCGACTAACATCTGAACAAGGTTCTGCCAGGTGTCCAGAAAGGCCTTTGTTATGGGATTCACAACTATGCCAGCCAGGGTTGTAAGCAGATCCTGGACAGCCTTTATTGGTACCCCGGAGAGGATAACCTGGACCAGTCGCATAAGGATGCTGCCCAGAACTCTGTGAATGCCACGCAGGAAAAAGGCGCGTTTCTTGGCCCCAACAAGTTCATCCAGTTTAAGCACATAGTTCGGGTGGCCGTAAATGGCCTGTCGAATAATCTGAGTGATGTCACTCGTCTCCATGCGGTTTGCTGTGATGCTGCGAATGTTGCCTTCTAGGAGGCTGATCAGCTTTGAGGCACGGTGTATGAGGCACTCAATGGACTTCACGTCAGCTAGGTGGGCGCGCTTGTTCAGGGCATTGAGGGCATCCCAGGCGCTGTACCGCTTCCAGTTCTGCAGAAGTCGATCGATAAAGTTGATCAGGGGTGTGGGCAGATTCGGTGCCTTCCAGTCGTTGAAGAGGTTTTCTCTGTTGAACGAGCAGGACAGCGCCACGGCTTCCACTGGATTTTCCACAAGATCGGCTATTTGTATCTTTTTATTAAGGTTCATTAGAAGATCTGGTTGTCCGAACCTAATGCAAGGAGGCATTGAAGAAGAAGAAGAAGAAGGGCCATCATAAGCGGTGTATTTATTTATGTTGACTGAAGCATAAGCTGATAAACAGTGAATTAAAACACCAAATTATGCTGCAAACTTACTTGAAGTCATAGGTTACATGTGCCAGCGGTAGTAATAAAACTCTGCCTGCCTCCCTCGGCTGTCGTCACAAATGACCACCTCTAGCGCATGTCAAACGAGGGGGGGGGTGGGCGAATTCCCGGTTACTTGAGGGTGTTAGTTTCTAGTAAGGCGGACTTACGATGTATCTAGCGCACCCTCTCTCTCTCCCTCTCCACCTTCCTCCGATGGCAAGGTAATGTTAGTATGGCCGGAGACGGATTTGGGTCCCACATAGAGCACATATCTCAAACTATTCGATTAACTTCGGTTTTGACGACCAAGGTTTCTCTCTGTTAGGTATACGTGGAGGGTTATTGAAGCCAGAGTTAATGCACTTCTGTACGGTTTCGTCAAGAAATCGCTAGCCAATGCTAACTAGAGCGACACTGCGATTGTCTGAGCATAAGTGAGTAATAAAGACGATGGCAGGGACCCGGTGTAACAGCTGCCACCCTGACAGACACTATTGCGCTAGTCCATCACGGATGATCTCAGGACCGTCTAAGCACCACCAGAGCCAACGAAACTAGATATTAACACCACAATCGATGGTGGTGGCTTATGCGATTCCAGAAAGCCGGCATAACAAGAAAGTGCATTCTGAGCCTCTTTTCTGGGCATAAACAACTATTCACGGTTGTCTCAGCGGCGTCGGAACTCGAGGTTACGTAAGGGACGAGGTACGACCGTTTTGATCCCTCTGGGTATCCCTATCGTTCGCCAACAGTAGATTGTTGGCAGCAATCCGCTCACATGGTCGCCAACGCGGTCGCCTACTCATATCGACTTCGGTCCGCCAAATAGCCCCCCCCCACGGTCAATCGAATATTTGCGTCGCGTGTGACTCAGTCCCGGCGTGGCGGCGAACAGACAAGAGTTGACACCACGCTCTTTGCTGGCGAACAGACTTCAGGTGCACGCACGCACGCACGCACCTGGCTAACAACACCAGCGGTTGACTAATCAGCCTTGGTAGAATAATTGTTGACGTTGCTTCTGAGCCGTTTTTGCTCCTTCGGTCGGAGTTAGGCTATCCTATTAACTCTGTCTTCCTAGACTTTGATTTGGTAGGATTCTTGTTGTCGACCCATCGTATCTCGCTGCTCGGTGACCCCGACGTAATACGAGCACACTGTCTTCTTCTACTTATTACTGGAAATTGAATAAACACATTCATTACAGTGATTAACGATCATACTGCCCATACTGCACATGTCGGAGAACGACCGAGCACGTTTGGTCTGTGAAAGACCTGTTTTGTCGTTGATCTGGAGCCAATTTTGCCCTGGAAATCTAGAGGGGGGGGGGGTGGCTGAGAGAAACCACCTTGTTGTCTCATTAACAGGCTTACGGAAAGACGTTAGAGATAGTATTGTAGGCCACGCGCATCCTGCGAGACATCCTCCGAATAAGCGGCTTACGATTTTTCTTGAACCGAAGTAGGGACAAAAGTGAGACCTTATAGATTACCTGGCGAAATTAATTCGTCTCTTAGTAACCAAGACTTCTTAAGGACTCAGAAATTTAATTGCTCTGCTTCCTGAAGGTCAGTTGCTCTCTGCAGGTCTGGGATGAACAGTGCTCATGATATGCAGACGCGAGAGGCAGCATATGGAGCCTTTATGAAGTGCTTGGAACCTTTTACAGATTTTATCGCCCTGTAGCTTTTTCTTGGATCTTGACTATGAAGACTTCGGATCCTCTGCGTGTTCCATCGATTGAAGACTTTAATTGCCCCTCCACTGAGGATAATAACCCGCGACCTTGATGTGGCGCTCATTCATCTCCAGGGTCTCATTCTTGTCTCTTGGGCCAATCGTTCGCCCTCCGCCCTTGGCAGATACGCCGCGTTAGGATTCATGTGACCAGGGCTTGCGGGCGGATAAGACATGCACACATTCGGCCGCGAGGACGACCAGTCTCAGGCACCCCACAGACTCCGTAATTACCCCGTCAACTCACCTTGCTAACACTGACTGGATCTGACTGACAAGTAGTCATTCACGCCCGCATCTCCTTGGTGGACGATTGCGTTTGTAGACCACGGCCGACAGTGCGGTTAGGGGTCTGACCACCACCACCACCGCCGCCGCCACCACCACCACCACCACCACCAACACCACCACCACCACCACCACCACCACCACCACCACCACCCCCACCCGTTAGCAAGACCCTGCAAATCTAACAGCCTGAAATTGGCCCACTGCCTTCCATGTCTGCGATTCCCCATCATCCCTTGCTCGGGATGATCTTCGCTATTGTCCTACTCAGGCGATCCCAGGCTGTGCGTGACTCAAGGACGAGGCCCAACCAAGCCGAATTTCGTGCTGGACGTGTATGCACAGACCAGATATTTACATTGAGGCGCATTCTCGAATTTCGCCATAGCTACCAACAACCGACGGCCGTCTGCTTCATTGACTTTGCCGCCGCGTTCGATTCCGTTCACCATGAGTCCCTGTGGCGGATAATGGTGCTAGATGGTGTACCGACAAAAATCATCGCCATGATCAAGGCCTATTATCGTTCCACTACTGCGAGAGTCCTGGCCCGCAACAGTCTTTCCCAACCGTTCGGTATTCGTTCTGGCTTCCGACAGGGTTGTACCCTGTCACCCATTCTGTTCAACTATTCTATTGACTGGATCCTCGGGAGGCCCTACGCGAGAGTGACGGCGTTGAGTTTGCACCCGGAGACCGACTAACTGATCTCGACTATTCCGATGAAATCGCCTTACTTGCTTCCAGTTTTGGTGATCTGCAGTCTATGGTGTCACGGGTAAACGAGGTCGCTAAATCGGTCGGTTTATCCATGAACGCTGCGATGATCAAAGTGTTCTCAAGCTGCATCCCTGACCAGGAGAATGCACCTCTCGGGATTTATGGCTGTCAACTTGAATAAGTGGACAGTTTTAAATACCTTGGGGCGAGGTTGCTGCCTAATGGACAGAGTAAGGACGACATCGTCTCCCGAATCGATGCTGCCCGCTGGGTTTTCTCAAGCCTTCGGAAATGCCTATGGGTCCGACGTGGCCTCTCCATCACCACTAAGATTCGCGTGTACCGTGCATCTGTTCGGTCTGTCCTTCTCTACGGTTATGAATGCTGGGCTTTGCGCGTGGAGGGCAAGCGTAAACTGGAGGTATTTGACCACCACTGCTTGAGGACCATCCTTTGAGTGAAGTTAACCGACTTCGTCTCAAATGAGACAGTCCGCGCTCGCTGCGACAACATCGCAAGGATAACTCAGGCCATCCAAGAAAGACGACTGAGGTGGTTCGGTCATGTTCTTCGTCGTCCACCTCAGGAGCCCAGTGTTACTGCTCTCGATCTGACCCCGTTGCCCCGATGGAGGCGTCGGAGTGGGGGTCAGTTCAAAACATGGTTCGACACAGTTCGTCAAGACATGGAGGTGGTTCTTGGACCTTCAGTATTCGGTCTCCGTCATTGGCGAAGGGAATGGGTTGAGTTGTCCAGATCTGCTGCCGCGGATCGTCACGCGTGGGGAGGTACAGTTCGGGACATCATTGAGGCCGGCCAGATCAGGCATGGCCGCAGCCGTATCAAGTACAAGTACAGTGTCAAAGAAAGTTTTGACCTAGTGTTTCCGAGACTGAGGCCTCATGGGTGCAAAAAACCCTTCGCAGCCGCTGCAACTCGTCGAGACTTCTAGCCTTTCATTCATATCGGCAGCTAACGAAATATAAAAAAACCTAGCCCACTAACCTGTCGGCAATGTCACTCTCCTTCATTACCCTCCTCAAGTTGGCTGGCAAGACCGCCGGCATCGCGCGCAATTTGTCCACATCGTTGGCCATAAAGGCGGTCAGAAAATCGGTCATCTCCTCCAGTCGCAGATGCAGTGTCTCAGTGTACTGGAACTCATTCGTGTCCGGCTGATCGGGCGGAGTCCAGTTGCCGGCCAGAAGACTCGCAACATCGACTCGACCCAGGTTGTAGCGCTGAATGGTTTGCAGGAAGTGTGACAGGTGCGGCAGAAAGAGAACATTTGGCGCCATTATCAGGATAGACTCTTTGCGGGCTGCCTCATGGGTAGACAGTATTTTCGTCAGCTGGCTTGCATCTGGCAGGAGACGTACCAACTCATCATAGGCAGTTACGGAGCCCTCGATGGCCTCCTCCAACAGCTCCAGCGCCTTACCACGATCGCCAAGCACCTCAGCCAGGTAGAGCATGAAGCCGGCCGGCGATGTGCTATTCGCCAGAAAACGTTTTGTCTTCTCCTCTGAGCCGCCAAGAGCTTTTCGCAGCTGGAGGCGTGCCTTCTCATCCTGGTGGATGCTGCGATCGATTGTCCGTAGGCTTAACGTTCTGCTGCTCATGCGTTTCATCACAGTATCCATTGCGAGGGAGTAGAGCTCAGTCTCGGTTGAGGGGACAATTGCTTGCATGCGGGCCTCGGCCAGGCGCGCGGATTTCCTACGTACCTCGTGTCGCATTTTGCTCCAGTAATGTTTCCCCTTTGCTTTTGACGGTGGTCTTGACGGTAGCTCCGATTCTCCGGAGGCCAGCTCCTCGTACTCCGGCGGATACTCGCACTTTGGCCCTTTGTTAGGGTGAAGATGAAGGCGCGTTTTAGACAGATGCAATAGCTAGTGCCAATGATTGCCTAGAAAATGAATGCCTGAGGTCATAATTCACGTCGAATGATTCAACAAACGGTATGATGTGGTTATGTAGCCAGTGAGCGCCCTCTACCATCGCACACAATACTGTTGACCTACTTAAGTATTTTGAGTTGATGTGACTACGCTGGCATGGAGTTGCTGTACGTTGCGGTGTGTGTTCTGTTGGCGGGCTTGTTTC